GATTTGGTGTACTATGGGGATTTATACTTATGGGCGTCGGAACAGTTAATAACACGCTTCCTTGGTTGCGGGTTCATAAAATACCCCGAAGCCATGCTCTTTGTTTAGACCCCTCCGAAACACCAAACCCTACATCCTAAACCCTATAAACCCTATAATCTCCCTAAACCCTAAACCCTACACCCTAAACGCTATAAACCCTATAGTCTAAGCATAGAGGGTCTAGATTACCTTTTGCCGGTTGCGTCCATGGTTCGACGTGTCGGGCCAAGACTTCGAGGCTGATGCAATGTAGTCGCCATTCTCACACTCTAGGGTTTTAGGGTTTAGGGTTTTAGGGTTTTAGGGTTTATAGAGTTTTAGGGTTTAGGGTTTTAGGTTTTATGGTTTCAGGGTTTAGGGTTTTGTGGCTTGTTTTATGGCTTTAGGGTTTCTGGTTTTAGGCCAGTGTAGGCTTTATGGTCTCAGGATTTGGGATTGCGGCTTTTAGGGTTTTTGCCAGAAACATTGCCAGGCACCATTCTTTTGTCGCCTCGCGCTGCTGCTCTGCTAAGCCATCCTGCTGATAGTTCCTCCGGAGGTGTCGGCGAGAAAAAGCAGTTTCAGCAAATAGGGTGGCACCAGTACAGATTTAGGCGGCCCAAAATGAACCTCAATCCCTAGAATCCGTCAAATGACGGGCGGAAGTACGGGTTCCCTCAATTTCTGTCCGACGAAACCGACCCCACCATACCTGTGATTCTTTCAGGAAGGCGGCCAGGGGCAGGCCAAGTGCATCCGAGCGAGCTGCCCTGGACCTAGCAGACAAGGGATTCACGAGACCGGGGTAGTAGTATTCATGTTTGTAGTCGTATTTGTATTAGTACTACTGTTAGTATGAGTACTGTTACTGTTGTTAGTACTTATGACCGTATTAGTATCGTTTTAGACTTAATGCCAGTATTATAGGAGATCGTAGTATTACTGTTTGCTTTGGATAGCATAGCCTCTGCGCCTTCGTGGACAGTAGTAGCACCAGCTGGTTAGGTACTTCAAGAATACTTGTGTAGCTTTGTATCCTCCTGCTTAGAGGCATGCCTGTGGCATCCAAAGCATCATCGTCAGCATCACCCCTCCAGCTATATGGGCATTGCCACACAAGTCAAGCTCCACCGATCAAGTTGTTGGAAAAAGGGGGGTCGCTCCGATGATCATCAGACGAGAATCTATTCATAAGGTTTCGGTTCAATTAAATCTGCCTGGGCTGTTCATCCTATACATCAGCTTGCCGGAACGTTTAGTGTTCCCGGTGAGCCCTAAACCCTAAACCCTAAACCCGATGAAGCTGTGGGCTTCCTGGCATCCCTGTAAGGTTAGATGGCCTTTGGACGTTGGATGCCCCGTCTCTCCTTGGAGCCCATCCCTGTTCTGCTTTGTTTTCCCGAACCCTAGACAAAAAAAAACCTTATAAACCCTAACCCGACACCACCTTTCCACGGCACATCTTGTCCTTCGAGGTCTCCCTATTTGCGCGAACCTTTGTCCCCAGTCGGTAGCGGCCCCAGACATTCCTGGCAGCTGCGACTCCTGTGGTTTTCTGCTGGAGTTGAGTTCCAAGCCTCAGCTGTGTTCGGGAGTGTTAGGTTTGGAGTTCCTTGTTAGATGTGAGTCGTGTGGTAGTACCCATGGTTACATGCAGTAAAGGAGCCGTAATTGTCATAGCCGTGGCTGAGGTGAACATCAGCATGCTTGTACATTGCGTCGTGCTGGTACTCTTGCAGTAAAAGAAAGGATAGTAAATAGATGTAAAAAGCAGAGCATACACTACCAAAATCATACTCAACTGAACTAGTCCTCGTATTGAGCCCTAAGCGTGACCTGAAAGACTTTAAGGTCCACTAAACTCTATAGGCCCTAAATCCGAAACCTATATCTACAACCCAAATTCAATCTTGAGGTTCATGTCCTCCTGCTGGCAGCGGGAGGTTTGCGCCCTGCCCCGGCAGCGTCTTGTGCCCAGAGCTTCCTCATGCAACTTTAAAGGCTTCGTTTGCCGGTAGACCCCCCAACTCCTCCTTGTTTGTATCTTCGAGCTCGACATCCTGTTTCGTGCTCGGCATCCCTCACGGCATTCAAGAAAAAGAGGTCCAGTTGTAGACCGTGAGGCATCGTATCGGTATTTCCTTTATCTATTATGCCCGAACCCAAAAACTCATCGAAGCCCTGCGTCCCTGGCCTTTGCAACGCGACATCTCACGCCCTGAATCCTGAACCCATCCTCCGCACAGTCTCGTCCCACAAGCCTCGGACAGCCCAAGGCCACGCGAAGCGGAAGGCCGCGGCCGGTGTCTCGTGCTTCGTAGTTTAGGGTTTAGGGTTTAGGGTTTAGGGTGTGTTCAAAAATAACGGAGGAAAACGTTCAAGCGAGATTTCAACCTGGAGTTGTCCGTGGTTTGGGTTTCCCGTGGCCGAGAAGCCGCCAAAGCCTACAAGCACAACCCTCTCAACACCAGGACTGGAAAAGCAGATAAGACACCTGTGAAAGTTACGAAACTCAAGACTTGAGATTCCGCCTGGTTGGGTCCTGGACTTGTACAGAAGACAGCGCCCTAAACCCAAAACCCTCAACCTTAGTTGGACACTCTTGGTAGTGACCTTCTGACGATGACACCTTGCTGGAAGCGGCTTTTGATGTCTGGGTATCTTTCACTAGGGCTAGTTTCGTTGAGGATTGATGTGGCTTCGTGTCTAATTAGCTTGCTCTGGTGACTTGTCAACTTAGGGCTAAGAAAAGTCGAGATGGCGATCTTGCTTTGCGGGCTATGCACGGTCAGATGAAACCAAGCAACCCTCGCTTGTGGGCATAGATCTCAGCCATGCAAGAGGGAAGAAAAGCCCTAAACCCAAAACCCTCAACCCTGAACCCCGAAACCCTAAACCCTATAATCCCTAAGCCCAAGACCCTGAACCCAAAACCTTCAACCCAGAACCCAAAATCCCCCTCGTGGAAAGGCGCCTCCGCCTCCGGTCTCAGCCCACCTTCGACTGAGAGCTCCAAGTGGCACAGGCCAGAGTGTAGGAGTCTTTCGGGTCTTATTGAATTGTTTCTATGGGGTTTAGGGGTTAGGGCTTGTTGTTTAGGGCTTTTTAGGGTTAGGGGTCTAGGGGTTAGCTTGTTAGCTGGTTTGGGTTTAGGGGTTTAGCGCTTTGGGGTGTAGGGAGTCCCAGCTGCAAGCGGGTTTAGGGTTTGGGGACCCGGGGCCCTGCAGCTCGCCGTCGGACCGATTTACTGTACGATGGGCGGCCGGATCGAGTTAGGCCTCGGCGGAGTTAACCGGCCGGCGGCAAGAATCGCAGCACAGATTTTGATGCTACTGTCGACTGTTCTTTAGGAAGGACACTCACCTGATGGATTTTTGAAGGCTAATAGAGGGCCCCTGGGTGAGGATACATACTCCTGTCCAGAGTCCTGTTGTTGAGGTATTGTGGTCCTTAGATATCACGAAATGAACTGTTCACACACCTTCAGGCAATCAAAGCTAAGCAAGGCTACGCCTGCACGATTGTTTTTTTTTACGCCTGCACGATTGTAGTCTCGTTGCGTGGCCGAACATGCACATGTGTAGACTTCTCCTTGGGAAAAGCCTTTGCACGTACTCTCGGAATGAAGTGTCTTCTCAAGTATGCTGGTCTCGGTACGATGCATTGCTACTCATGTCAAGCATGTGTTCAGGGCTGGCCGTCTTACATAGCTTATCCTCGAGTTCCGGTTTTAGCGCTGAGTGCGAAAGGACTCGAAGCCCGGAGCCCTTAACCCAACGCAAATTCCATTAAACAAAAGAGTCTTGCATGCAGGGAGTCAACTCCACCCACCACAACGGAGCGATGGCGGCTGCCAAGCTTGGCTGACCCGCCTGTTTAGGGTTTACTTGATGTGTCAGGATCGTCTTGAGAACTACAGGAGATGGTTGCGCCTTAAGGTCACGGCCAAGGGCTGATTTCCTGCAGATTTGGGTCTTTTGCAGGCTCGACCGCAGTTTGTAGATGCAAGTGCATAATCTGGGGTTCATTACATGTAAATCTGTTCGAGGACAGCTGTGCATCGAACATTTCCTTCCCAGGGCATTGCAGATTACTCAACATTATGCCTGTCTGGAGTCCGCTCAATCAAACACCTGTCTCAAAGCTCAACCTGAAGTCATCTCAACCTCAACAAAGAGAGTCAAACTTGAAGAGCAAGGGGACCGGAACGCGCTGGTGGCTAGCACACACCTTCCAGTGTCTCCCTCTATAGTCTAGCCGTCAAGAGCTGGTCGATGTGTCGCTTGAACGAGTTCTTGACATGTTACAAGAGATCGTTGAAGCTGGTGGCCTAGTCGGTCCGCCACACTCTAGCAAAACAGACACCACACCACAACCACAACCACCAAAAACTGCGACGACTTCCAGAAGCATTTGCCCGAACATGCCCGAAAGCCCTAGCTCACCTTAATTGAGCTGTCAAAATGAGCCCTTCCCCACCCATCTCCAGTCCCCGAAAGCCTGAAGCCCGACGCTTCCATAGTGTCACTAGCTTCGAATCGCTTCTTTCCTTTCTCAACTTAACTAGCAAGAACGACCTGTGCAGTTGATAGCTCTATTTGGGGGGTTGACCCCCCCTTGTCGTCATCATTCACCACATGCTCGTGGTTTACGTGTTCTGGAGACGAGGAGCTTTGCTGCACCTTGCACAAACACTGCATTTTCAGGATCCTCCCGAGAGATGCTTGAATGATCCCTAGACGTGCTAAAGCCGCAGCAGCCGCTGCACGTCGAGAGCCCAAGCTTGCATCACATACTGTTGCATGACCTTCAGCCATGAATACTGCCCGAATGGGCTCCCCATGGCGACCTCGGCTGCCTGTTTTGTGCATCTGTTGTTTGATGTTCTGCACGTGGGAGTTTTGCCGGCCTGGGTGTCGATTTGATCTTGGTATTGCCACATCTGTTTGCGGCACGAGTTGTGATGATGCCAGCACCAGGAGGACAGAAACTTTGTGTCTCGTTCGCTGGTGCTTGCGAGATAGGCAAGCAGAGAGAACCTCTCAGCAGCTGTGCTTTGCTACAAGGGCGTCCTGCAGCAGGCCCAAGAAGGCAGGTTCCTGTCAAAGCACGTTCAACGGCGTGCACTGGCACAGAAGGCATCAGAGGTTTCAGGCGAGAGTATGTTTTGAAGGAAGATGTCACTACACGGGATATTTCTCGAATGACACGGAAGCAGCCTGTGCTTTTGATGCAAAGTTGCGTGCAATTTGCACGGATCCTGTGCGATTAAAGAAATCCTTGAACTTTCCGACGAAGGCGGAGGCATCCTATGAAGAACCATTGTCGGAGAGGCGCTCCCGGGGCCTCAAAAAGAGCTCCCAAAACTCTGCCAAAGACGTGGAGTCGTTCCAGCATTTGCAGCATCGCTTCTCGAAATCTCCACAGGCGTCAGAGTTTGAGATTGTCAACATTCCCTCCCAGTCACGAGTTGATGCTTTGTTTCAGCCCCGGGGGTCGAAGAGCGTAGGTTTGCCCCTTCAGCTCAAGTCCTCGACAAACCGTAACAAGAACAGCGGTGAGTGCTATGCTTTTCAGCGCACCAGCGGCTACGATGGCATGGTGCTGGTTCTGATCGCTCTAGACTGTGACATGATTTGGATGGTTCCCGGAAGCGAGGTGTCACAGACAAGTTTGTGGATCACACTCGGATCGAAACGGGACAAGGCATGGCGAGTGAGCCAGGTAGGGCTTGTGCTGGCGGAGTACTTCAGGAAGGGCACAGTGCCCCATGTACCATTGCAGGACGCATTAATGCAATGTGGCGACAACCACATTGTGGAAGAGCATTCTCACGCCCAACTTGCTTCGGTACTTGGATCAGTCGGGCTTCGACTTCATCGGCCGCCCAATGTGTATTATGACGTGGTGGATTCCGTGCTCAGCTGGCAGGAACACGAGTGGCGCGTGCAAGAGAAGGCAACACACATGTGGTCCCACGGAAGGTACGGTGCGAACCTCCGGAAGAGCGGCGGCTGCCTTGGCCCCCGTGCGTATGCTCAGACGGATTTTGACATCCTCATAGTCTCGCTTCTGGACGTTTCAGACCGTCTTCTTGGGATCTTTCTGTTTCCGAGCTGTGTGTTGGCGAAACGCAGGCTCGTTGGAAATAATCACAAGTCAGTGCAGCTGTACCTGTACCCTCCGTGGTCACAGCCCAAACCTCCAGCAGTGGCAGCGAGGCATAGCTGGCAGTTGGATCACTTCGTAGACCTGCGAAGCTGGAAAGGGAAAGATTTCCACTTGGATCCCAGTAGCATGGAGAGCTTGACCGAGCTGCTCGACAAGCTGCTCGACAATCCAGCCCAGGAGCCTGCTAGGCCAGGCCAAAGGAGAGCTCTCCGTTTCAATTAAAGACTGCAAGGCAGGGAGTATGAGTGGCCAGACCTGAAACCATTTGTCTGAAACCCGCTTTCCCACAAGCTGTTGCGTTCAGATTGCAGGAGTCTTCTCCACCAAGTCCGAGCCTTCTTTCTCGGTCGCTGAAGTCTTTAGGATAGTGATTCTGGGCGGACTGCTTGCGTGCTGTGTTGGCCCCAGGTCGTTAGAATTGGCGGCCCACCCTCCCCCCCACACTTCTTCATCGTGATTTTGCAATCCCGACGAACAACAACTCGACCGTTTAAGGTCAGGAAAGATTTGAGTCTAATTACCGAATGAGAAGCTACACCAAGCAGGTCAGGAGCTTCTGCACGTCCCTCCAGAGAGCTTATTGTTACAGGCTGCAGACCTACATAAGTCCCCCGCCCTAATTATCAGCGAGTTACCAACCCACATGCTTCCATCTCTTCGCCGCTGCCTCCGTCCTTGCCGAGCACGGCTCGCCGGCTACCAGCCACGCCCGGCTGGGCCGCCGACGGTTTACCACGAGGCTTCGGGCATGAGGCTCTTGAGACTTCTTGGTCCAATAGGTGTCTGTGCTTGTAATGTTTTGCTTTTCTCGCTGCTGAAGCGGTCTTCTATGTTGAGCCTGGGTGTGATCTGCAGCACTTCTTGGATAGGGTTGGGAGGACAGTAACCCGAACTGTTGGTGCGTAGCAGCACTTCGCGCAGGCCTGTTGCTCCCGAGTTGGCAAGTTTAACGGTCTTGCCTCTGGGGTCCCAGTATTCGCCAAGCCTTGTAACAGAGTGGCGGGCACAGCTTCGGGGTTGCTAGCACTGCCGAGCAGGGCACATTATGAACCATGCCCAAATCTACAAGCCCTCGCTGCGTTGATCTTCTCAGCTGGTTGGCCGTGTCTTCAGGCATACTCGCCGGAATGGCCGGTGACGCACCGCTTTCCCATGTGGAAATTCAAGGCCGCGAGCTTCGGGCTTGCGGGCGTAACGTGTAGAGTCTAGAGTTCGGCGCGTTGTTTCGTGAGGGGCTTAGTCACCGAATACTGTCGTAAAGTGCTGGGTGGCATCATCTTCCGGCAAGAGTCCATCCTACGTGTTGTAGGGCAGAGTTCCCAGCTTCAAGGGCAGCCGCAAGGCAATACAAGTAGCCGCCTTGTGATGTTGAAGACCTGGGATGCTTCAAGATAGGCTAAACTTCCAGCTGCAAGCCGTCATATAGCTCTGGATGCTCATTGAAAAACTCAGTATCTTCAATATTTCTTACACAGAGCTCAACGTTTTCCAGCACACTCAGCCAACCTGTTCCATGTCGAAGGATTTGGCCGAGCTCCTGGTGGAGGAAGGTCTCGTGGAGCCTCTTGGTTGGCGTTTTTAAACTCTGCTATACTCTAATTGATGTCCTGACTCTACGGTTGTGGGTTTCGAGCTTAGTTGCAGGTTCAGGATGGTTTTGGCTTGTTACACGACGTCGATGGCCAAGGGATTTGGACTCACGTCTTCAGGATAGCCTGCATGAGCGCGCTGCCTATGGTCGTGGGTGCCTGAAAAGCCAGAGGCCTCGAGAGCTGCGAAATCCAATGTTGTGTAAATCTTGTACAGGGCTCTGACGGCAAAGCGTTGAAGCAGGTCCGCATTTGCGTGTCGAGTGGAAATAGGCCACGACTTGGAGGTCTTGTTCCAGTAGTTCATTAGTTCGGCAGGAGCATAACTGTACCGCGGATGGACTCCGGGTGGCTAGACTATGTATGCAGATCCAAAGGCCGAAGGAAAACTCGGAGGTCGTGACATACTGGACTATACTGGCCAGCTTCATTTGGCCTTCCGAGGTCCTTTTCTGACTTCGTCACGCCCCAAGATCCGCCGGATGAGTGGTTTACTTTGGCCCATGAGGAGACGGGCTGCATTCCTGTTGTTGTCAAGAGTTGGGGTGTTTCCGGTGTACGATGAGTCCATGCATCGGTTTGCATCGGACACAGTTCAGCGAGCAAACTACGCTATGCACGGAAGCAGACAGGCAGGCCCATGGAAGATTCGTTGCTCAGTTGTATTTCAGGCCAAGGCCCTTCCGGCTTCTTGATGCCGATGCTGATCCCAGGAGGAATACTACAGAGGCTTCGTTGAGAACTCACTGGATCCTGTTCGCTGGCGACGCATTGGGCCCCCACGGCTTGAAAGAAGCATCGTGCCAATATCCGATCATCTTCTATACATCACTCTTGTCGGCGTCCGAGTTGCATTCTTGCAGGCTAACACTCAGTAGAGTCCTTCACCTATCCACCTAATGCATGACATTGTGGAGCACCGCGAGTAGCACCTAAGCCTGCAGCCATTTCACCATCAAGCAATCGAGTCCCAACGTGCTCAGGCTTGAAGGTGACCCTGGGTGCTTTCGGGTTAAGGCCGTCATGACTGCTGTGCACGTGGGCTCGCATGTTTCAGCCCGGGGGGTCGAAGAGCGGAGGCTTGCCCCTGCAGCTCAAGTCCTCGAGCTGCCATAACCTGGGTAGCAGTGAATACTATTTGTTTTCATGGACAAGTGGCTACGATGGCATTCTCCTGGTTCTGATCGCCCTGGTCACGCTCGGGTCCCCGCGAGAAGAGGCTTGGCGAGTCGACAAGATAGGGCTGGTACTGGCGGAATACTTCAGGAATAGTAGCCTTCCACATGTACCATTGCCGGATTCAATCCTGCAATGCAGCGGAAGCAATATCGTGGAAGAGCATTCCCACCCACAACTTGTTTCGGTGTTCGAATCAGTAGGGTATCGGTTCTGGGCCGGCAAAGTCATCTGTGGCGCATCCAGGAGAAGGCAACGCATATGCAGGCGAATGGTAGGTACTTGGCGAACCTGTGGAGGTGTGGCGGCTGCATGGGCCGACTCGCCTACGAAAAAGCAGATTTTGACATCCTGGTGGTCTCGCTGCTGGACGGCTCAGATCGTCTTATGGGAATCTTCCTGTTCCCGAGCTCTGTACTGGCACAACGGAGGATAATAGGGCACAAACCACTACTTCTGAGACTTTACCCTCCATGGGTACGGCCCAAATTGCCAGTAAACACAGTTGGCAGTTGGACTACTTCGTGGACCTGCGAAGCTGGGCAGGGAAAGGCTCCCACCTGGATCCCAGCAGCAAGCGTAGGTTCACCGAGCTGCTCAACAAGCTCCAGCCCACTGGGCTGGAGCTTGATGAGCAGCTCGGTGAGCCAGGAGCCTGCCAGGTCAGAGGAGAGCCCTGCGGTTCCAAAAGACAGGAAGATAGGTTTGAAGACTAGTAGCTGCGGATCTGGGATTCGACTTCGGGGTCGAGGGACGCAAGGTGTATGATTTTGGATTTATGGGGCAGCTTGGACTGGTGATGATAGGTGCGCATGTCTACGTTGTTGGGTTCATATAGGGTTCGCCAGTGCAGACGCCCCAGCAATTAGCCCGCCGAAGGTTCACTCAGCGACCGGATCACCGGGCCCTTGTTCGTCGGACAAGGCTGGGAAGACCCTTACTAGCACATGTGCCAATGGGGTTGTGATGATGCTTGTGTTCACTCATCTTGTTGGCGAGCTGCGCAACGGAGTGTCGGATCTGCAGCTGCCTAAGTGTGGCCTCAGTCTAAGCCTAAGCAGCGCAGCGTTTAAAGTATCATATAGCTTCATATAATATTTACATATCCTATCGCATTTCTGACATGCACTGGAAGGCTTGAGGTGGCAGGGACGCTGCTGACGGCACGGTTGGCTCTGGAGACCGGTTTGGCTTGCAACACTGCCGGCGGGACTTTCGTCTTCATTGGCTTTTCGGTGCGCGGCTTCAGGGTGTTATGAGGTTTAGGGCCGGGACTCTCTGCTGGTTTTGTTCGTCTGATTCGTGCTATGTGCTGACGGTTTGTTTGCCTGACTTTTTCGGCTTGTTTTAACTAACTCAGCCGTGTTTGTTTGGGCACGGGCTGTGCTGGAAGGTCAGTGCATTCCTGTGAGAGTTCAGCACGACGAAGTCAAGATCCTGACGGCTTCATGGGATCTGGAACAGGAGGAAGGCTTGACACCTTAATTGAAAAACGCCCTAACTCCGAGAGTCAGATTCCAACAGATTCATGGCTGGAGTAAGCCAAGGACGCACCATGCCCATCGAGCCTGGGGAAGCGGGTACACCGCGCTCAACGACCTGGCGGTCACCAGCAAGGCAGCCGGGGTTGAGGGGTCCACGGTGGTCGACGTCGGTGCACTTCCGGGGGGTGAGGCTTCAAGCTTTGTGGGCCTACGGTGTTTCATGGTTTAGGGTTTAGGTTTTCAGATGATGCGGCTTTGTTGGGCGAGCTGACAGTTTTTGGCCTCTTGGCAGTCAGATCTGTCAATCAGATCTTCCTCTGCGCATCATGTTGCAGCGCAACCTGGCGTCTAGACAAAAACCCTGACACAGAAGTCATGAGAGAGTGCCTGGACAGTCCGCGGATCTCGGTTTTCGCAAGCTTGTACACAGGTTCTGCTGCAGGAGGGTGTGGTGAGCCGCATCCTGATTTGCGATCTCCAGTCGCATTAGTCAGCCATGCTAAGCTTGACCTGGTGCACTAGGCCTGGATCAGCATTTAGGCATGAGAGCTTGTGCTGACTTAGATTCATTGTCCAGCCGATGGCCTCCACCTGTACTACAGGTGTCGCATGCCGTGCCCCTGAAGATGTAGAATAGAATCGATAACCGCACATTGCTGGACCCTTAAGATGGATTGTCCAACTATACCACTTTAGAAGCGAAATCTGGGAGCATGCTCTTCCAGGTTCAGATGTTCAAGTTTGAGCTCTGAGATGGTAGCAGGGCATGCGTATATACATGACACAGGAAGTTTGGTTTCTCCTGACCAACTAACCAAGGGGGCTTTCTCTCGCGAAACCAACGCCCCCGTTGTCACAAGGACCTAGACGTCCACCAAGGGGACGGCACGGCGGAGATTCTGCGTGAGGATGCACAAGCCTTCACCTTGTCCGTACACTGCAAGGACACAGAATGCAGTTGTCAAGTTGTCTCTTCATATTAGTCTGCAGACAACGAGGTCTGCAAGAATGTCCAAGCCAGAACCCTCTGTACCCTGTGCAAGCCAAGTGCCAGAGTCACGACGCCCGAGCCAGCGTAACAGGCAAATACCTCCAAACCAGAGGGACCAGTAGTCTTTGTGGATTCGGGCAAGGCATGCTTGTATTATGATGCCTTCAAGCCCCCCCGGCCTGAACTATGAGACAAATTCTCGCCTCACGTAAACCGTGCACACCGCGAAGCACTCTGTTGTGGAGGACAACTTCCCCTTCGGCTTCAAGGGCATGACCCATCTGGGACATGACAAGAGTGACCTGGATGTCGGGCTGGCGACGTTTGGCAGCTACAGAACTGCCGAATTTACAGCCCGATACATCGGATCCCTCATGGCTTTGGCCATAGGCTCCAACCCTAGCTAGAAGCCCTTCTCAGACTACGGTTCGTGTGCGACCCTCAAAATCATCGGAGGCAGGAGCCTCGCACAAAGTTATCCCCTTCACTGCCCACTCCTCCAGGAAGGGAACCGGCGATGAGGTTTTCCTCTCCACGATATCCGAGCACCTGCTACTTACTTGCAAACGACAGCACAGCCCAACGACTCGGTAATCGGATGCCCTTATTTCGAAAGTTTAGGGCTCATGCATTTTTTAGCTTGGTATACGATGTTCGGAGGTGAGGATTCAAGGTTATAGGCTTCCGTGTACAATGTTCAGAGTTGAACCTGTCAGGAGAAAGGCCCATAAACTGGGCCCAGTCCCCGTTACTTTCCCGGCACCCCCGGCCGGTTTCAGGTTGTTGGGGTTTTGGGTTTAGGGGTCTTCTGTCGTGCTTTGTGAGTTTCAAACGTGTTTAGTTGGAGTTTTGGGTTTAGGCTGGGCGCCTTGGACGACTTTCGGCCGGACTTGGTGCTCTACGACGCCGGCGTCGACATCCACGTGGACGATGATCTCGGGAACTTGCTCCTTGCGAAGCACTGGGGGAGGTTTGGGTCTGTTGGTGGCGGGGAGGCCTGTCAATCTGTTAGATCCGTACAGGGTTGGAAGATGTTGGAAGTGCAGATGTCAAGGTTCGGGTGTCGGAGTAAGTTGGGGAGTTTGTGTGCCGGCTATTTGGATGGCTGGCGTTTGGAAAAGAACAGAACAGAGTGTTTCGCAAGTCAAGCACATGTCTCTGTAGGGCAGATCTTTTGAGGGAGCATGCAACGTCCGCTGAACCTGAAACATCCCACCGTCGTAAGCTGCACTCTATAGACAAAGCGCACCGCCAGACTCGTGGTTGAGGTGCATCTCTTGGGACGGCCTTCGGAAGCGCGAGGACGCTGCCAAGCTATTGTGTGGTTGTTTGTCTTGGGGCCTCCGGGTTTGGAGTTTTCGGATTATCTAATGCAATTATGGGTCATCCGAGCCCAAAGGCAATCTAAGTATGCAGGAGTGTGTGGGTTTTGGGAACCCTCAAGGCGAGACGTGAGGACATCCCACAGTCGTAACTGCAAGTTCTGAGGAGGCAAGCAGTAGAAACTTCTGGGAGTCCCGGCTGAGTCCTTCGTGCTTTTTCCCAGGAGTGCTAGCCCGCTCCAGACTTCAATCGCTCCATGCGTGTACCTGAACGACAGTTAAGCCCAAAGACGTATTTGGCATCGATTTCAGGACCTGGTGATCAACGCCTGCCTGTCCAAGCGCATTCCGATCGCCTGTGCAGCTCGGGTTCATCCCAGTACGGCTGCACTCGTTCCTTTGCATCGAAGTGACGGCTACAAGGTCCATACAGGTTCCAGCTGTTTAGCTAAATCGTGAAGTGGGGTTTCTCAATATTCTACATTGAACCTAGGTCGAACCTAAGTAGGTTTCGGGCTAGGGTTTGGCATGCTTTAGAGGTAGCATTTAGAAGTTTAGACTTTAGACATGTAGACTAATTGCAGGTCATCGGGGGTGGCTACGACCGAGATCCTCGACATTTGGCTCATCGCTCTTGGATGGCAAAATAACATCGAAGCCGCAGTCCCCCAAGCAAGAAAGCCATAAACCTTAAACCCCATTCCCGGGTGTTGCAATTTAGGGTTGAAGGTTTGTGTTTGCAACGTCGGGGCTCCTGTTTGGATCTTCCGTGTAGTGGTCGAAGGCGACAGGTAAACCACTCGGGCCGTCGATATTGTCCAATGTCTTAAGCACTATGAGTGCATGAGAGTTCCTAGGTGCGCCGCACCATTCTAGACGTGACCTTCAAAGTTAGGTGCACGTCACACCATCGTTGAATCCGGCTGTGTACTTCAGGTCTGTACACCCACAGTCAATGCCAGACAGGGCAACCAAAGAACTCACGCCTCAACCAGAACCCCTAAGCCAAAGTAAGCCTTCGACAGCTTCAAGCACGGTTCTTTCTTATAACATCCTAAGGAGTACAAAGTCTGTTCTAGTTTGTTTTATTGTAAATCTTCTTAGAATACTGTTTCTACTGTCTTCAAGATGCATATAAGATTAGCAACTCCATTATCTACATGAGTGGTCGCACGACTACGACACTTGTCAAAAGTGTTCAACTCTATAGGGAGTTCTCTAAATTAGGGTCCCCTTTTAGTGCTCTTTCTATAAGGGTGCCGTACTATATTGGGGACCTAGAAAGGGACCCTAATTTAGAAAAACTACCCCTATACACAGCGACCCGACCCCTGCAGCAGCCGACCGGAGGCCATGGGGCAGTTCACCGAGTGGCGCATGAAGCATGGCGGACGTTTCGCCTGTGAGCGGAAAAAGACGATCGTTGCGCTTTCCGGTCTAGGACTTGCAAGGGGCAACCTGGCGAAATCCACAATCGAAGCCATAGGAATCCTGACTCCGAAAGGGTAAGTCCAGAAACCCAAAGACCCTTGAAACCGCCAAGACTCAAGGCCTCCCCCAAATGTCAAGATCCGGTTATTCCTAAACCCTAAACCCTAAACCGGGTCCTAATCAACTCGGCCAGGTCGCCATCTCACCAGCCATCAGGCCATGGCTTCCTTAGCTTCACAGCTTTGGGGTGGTTCGGTTTTGCTTCGTTTGGGGGTTTCTGGGTGTGAGTTATGGAACTCCTATAGTGCTTCTGCTTGTTTAAGGACGAAAGTATGTCTTTAGAACCGGAGTGTATCACGTTTCGACTTGTTGGGGCTGGGGAAAGTCCGGCTTTGTGTTTGAATCAGAGTCTGAAGTCCGACAGACAACCGAAGCCCTGCACCCCTGATCCTATAGACCCTCAGCCAAAGCCGCCACGGACTTCCACTACCCCAGGAACCACGCACCCTGAACCGTAAAACCCAAAAGCAACCCTAAGCCCTAAATGGGTAGTTCTCTAAATAAGGGTCCCGCTTTAGGTCCCCAATATAGTACGGCACCCTTATAAAAAGGACCCTACAAGGGCCCCTAATTTAGAGAACTACCCAAAATCGAGAAGTGCACCAACGCCAAATCGAGAAGTGTACCCTAAACCCTAAACCCTACCAAACCCAAAACTTGGGAAGGTTGTCCGTTCGGCTTCCGGATGGCAGCTTCGTTGTGGGCGATCTCGCGGTGCACTCAAGCCGAGGTGTTGAGATCGAGGGTTTTGGGATTCCTGAGTTAAAGATTGAGGTCGCTTTGCCCCTTTGAATTTATGGTGTTCTAGAAGCTCGGGTCTTAGAATTCAGGGGTTTTGGAGCTTAGCTTTTAGGATGATCGTGCTGCAGTTGCAGGTTTAGGTTACGAGCTGACGGCTCAGGGTAAGGCTACTCGCAATTGAAGGTCCCCTCCATTTTCAAAGCTAAAACAAGACCTGGGACTGAACGTGTTACGCCAGAACACATCCCTAGTTTCTAAGTCTAGCACCAACATACTAGACAGATCGGCCTCAGAAGTATACTATGTATTCTGGCAATGTAGACCCATGGAGACATCTTTTTCGAAATCATTTGCATTGATTTTGTCGGGTCTCGTGACCTAAAAGTGCCGGAACTAACACAGAAGGCTGTGCTGCATCATGGAGACTCCTGGGTGTTTTGAAGAGTTGTCCTACTTTTGAATGGGACCCACAAGGGGACCATAGTTTGGAAGTTCGGTGTAAACTCCGCCAGTGCATGCCTGTGGGTGGGGGCTGGGTGGTGCCACACGCCTAAATAGGCAAGGTATCCTCTAACTAAGATTGCGACAAAGCCCGGCAGGCAATATCCCTAAGGGTCCAAGTAGTCCTTATTTATGGTTTTAGGTACCCAAAAAGGCCCCAAAGTCCTTAAATAATGGGTACTTGGACCCTTCGGGTATGCTAATGGTGTATTCTGCGCCTTGCTGCATGTGCGCCTGTTGACAGGGTCCCCGCCTTGGAGGCCCAAGCTGTCCCTATGGCAGAAACATGAGACTCCCAAAATGCACAGGCATCAAACCTATGGAAAGCCCCCTAAACCCTAAACCCTAAACCGATGGAAAGCCGACCTCAAAGGTTCATCGCAAGACATGGAATCCAAGACCCTGGACATAACCAGCAGGCACACTCCAAAGAACTTTGCCCGGCAGCGTTTCAAAACACATTCAGGCCTTCAACCAAAAGCTGGGACCCATCAGGCCCGGATCCTACACCCTAAAGCTTTGCATTTCCGATTGTCAGGAGACCTCAGCCGAAGAGATCCCAAACCCAGTCACCCCTGAGCCCGAAGGGCCCTGCACCTCCCTTTACCCTCCACACCCAAAGTCCAAAGATGTCCAAAGCTCTCGCAAGCCTCAGAACCGCGAACCCATGATCCTTTGATCCTTTGCTGTGTATGCTTCAAGAGCCATGCTGGAAGCAGCTCTGCAGCCGGTGCCAGCAAGCAGCACGGCGTAGTAGAGAGTCAAATTATGTAGCCTCTTCCGGCCCCATGTTTTATGCTGTGCATGTGCGCGCCTGGCATATGCATGTTTTGTGTATACAGTGGTCCATTGTTTGCATGTTGAACCGAGCATGTTTGCATGCATGTACCAGCACCACATCTGACCAGATTTGTCCCCATGTATGCAAGTCTTAGCAGCTTAGCACGACGGCAGCCTGACAGACATTTCACGAAACAACACTGCAGGTCCTATCGTCTTCCTTGGCGCTTCATTCTATTAGAGAAGCTGAATGCATTTTGCTCTCACAGTTGCCGTTTGGAGTTTGTGGCTTGGATTTAAGCTCGCTTCGCAGTTCAACGATGCCGAGGAGAGCTACGCCACGCCCGATAGCATCACCTCGGCACAGGCACCCCGCCCTCCCCCACTCCGCCCGCCCCGCCCCAGTAGCCCACAAGAATCACGTCCCAGGCACCGGGCCCCACGACGCCCTGCAGCGGACATGGGCGACGCAGCAGCTTCCTGGCCTCGTTTTGGACCCGTTTATTTGCGGCAGGTTCTTTACAGCACCCAGGCCCTGACGGTAGCCTTGGCAAAATGCATCGGCTAGAGTATGCACAATATGAGGTTGCGGTGCACTGTGATTGCAATTTTAGTGTTCGCGGATGGGGATGAAACTTTTCGAACGCACGTCGCTCAGTATTTGGGGCTACCTACGAGACAGCCTCCGAGCCCACAGTCCAAAGTCCCTTAGTTTAAGACGCAGCTCAGATTGCACAGGGATCTTGCTGTCCCTGAGGGATGCATTCTTAAAAACAAGGGGTGCTGGGCTCTCTGGAAGCAGAAATGATCCGAAGCCTTAAATCAAAATCCCAGAGGATCCCAGAAGTTGGTAGTTGTAAGAGATGCGGAGCCCCGATCTCCACACCTGAGCAGCGAGCCAATACCACTTCGGGGCACACCAGAACCCGCCGCATTCATTTCCGAAAACAAAATTCGCAGGATCAGCTCTGTCAATAAAATAACTCGAAATAGAGAGGTGAGATAAGGGAGTCTTGCGGGTGATACGTCGTTTCGCAGACACTGGACCAACCGGATAGCACTTAGTTCTTGCCAGATTGTTCACTCGATGCTTCCACCGCCACTTGCGTCTGCATCGAAGGCATGCTATCCAACCCTCCATCGCAGAGGATTCCAGAAGCCTAGAGCCATAGACAGACAATCTGAGGACCTAAGAAAGAGCTGTCACGCTTCAGCCTTATACTTATATGACTTAGAATCGGAAGTTGTTCATACCCATAGGCCCCATAGTTAGTAGTTCCTTCTTGGGATTACCTAATAGGATCCTACATAGAAACCACAAAAAGGAACTACTTTAGGGCCTATGGGTTTCTTGTACACCCCAGCCCAGGCGCTGCCGCCCCACCCCGCAGCTACCCTGGCCGCAGCTCCGGAAGGATCTGTCGACACTCGCGCCTCCTGGCGGTTTAGGGTTTAGGGTTCAGGGAAAAGGGTTTAGGGTTTAGGGTCGTCGTTGTTGTGCTCCTGGCCCATCGGGCTTTAGGATTTTGGGCTTAGGGTGATAAGGGTCGGGTTAGGACCTGACGGCTATACTGTTTACGGTTCAGGTCAGCTGTGTTGAGTAATTGAGGTTGACTGCTGTTTTGCTGTTTTCTGAATATATATATATATATATTAATATGAATATGAATATAAATATTAACATTAACATTAATATTAATATTCAATACTAATATATATATATATATATATCTGACCTCCAGAGTTCGCAGTAGGGGTAATTAAGACCTTCAATCACCCAGTCGCGAAGATCCGAACTCGAATCCGGGCTTTCGTGCACCGCGTTCCTTCCCCACCTTCTATACTCTACAACCCGAAAATTCTGAAGCCATTCAGCAGCAGCCACCCCAAACCCTAAACCCTAAACCCTATAAACCAGCCTTCCGAGTTTCTGAGGCTGTCCTTGCTTAACTTCGGCCGTGTGGACGCCGGTCTACATCGCCGGCTCCATGATGCCGGGGAGCGTGCTGCCAGGTCCCTGAGCAGAGCACAAGCAAGGGACTGCTGTAGTGCCATGTTAGAGCCTTATAAGGTTCTTATTCGGGTCTGTTGTTGAAGACCATAATTTTTGTGATATAGGGTTTTGCTAGATGAGTTAAGGGTCTGGGGCTGCTTAGCTTGATACTGGTTTTCTTTTCCTTCGTCCCTCCATGCCTCTACCTCGTAATTTCTGTCGAATTCACCCTGCCTTTGTCGCGCTCACTGTCTCCCGCTGTCCCTCTCCCTCTCTTTCTTGGCGTTTGTTTTTCTGTGTCTCCATGTGTGTGTACCTGCATAAATAATGTTTGAGTCAAGGAATGTCTGTAGAAGGGGGTATAGCGGGGTTAGTAGATAGAGGCACTTTCTGAGCATCCCGCCCACGATGTCAAGTGGAGTGGGGAGCTTGTAACAAGTTCGACAGCTTTCGCAGTTGATTCCTGGACACGCGTGCGGCGTTGCTTCATGAGTTTGTGCACAAGGGGCATTTCATACTTTCGGTACTGAGCCGGTAGCAGCAGAGAGATTGTCGGATAGCAGTGAACACCCAGCACGTGCATCTCTGCACTTCTGCTGGGTGCTTTGTGGTTTGTAGTTCTCTTGGCGTACACCCTATGGCAAGCCCTGCCAGGGTTGGATCCACGGTCGCGGAGGAGAGTGCAAGAAGCTGGTTGGTGAACTTGATGGGGTTGCAAGGGCACTAGGGTTTAGGGTCCTGGGTTTATTAGGGGTTTGATCGAGTTTGGGGACCACATCGGTTCGACCTAGACCCACGAATAGAAAATTGACCATCAGAGTAGGATAGCCCGCCACTGAAATTTTTATACAGGCCATTTCTGCTAGCAACGACTATATAAGATCTGGATAAACCGATGCCTGAAACACCAACTGAATGCAACGAATTTCGGTACCCTAAACTCAGGATATGCATCCATTCGCGAGTGCAACCTCGGCCTGCATCTCGTCGGGGTCTGCCATAATGACAAAGTTGCGGAAGTGCCTTACTGTGCCGTTAAGATCTAGACACTTTCAATTACCCACCATCTACTTGATTTGACGTTCGCAGTTCAAGAAACGTTCCATGAACATCTTTGCATACTACTGAGTTGCTGATGCCAACTTACAGCACTCAGCATATCTGCCGTCATGTGTGTTGCCCAGTAGCACCAGCAACAGTCCGGCAGGAAGAGGCCACCTCCTATAGCTTTTGACACTGCCTGGTTCGTATTCAGAGGGTTTGTATGACTACTGCTCGGCTTTGAAGGGGTCAAGCCTTCCAGCCCTTCTTCCAACCAATCGAACTTGCATTCGCTAACCTACCGGATGTCAAGGACGTGCCTCCTGATCGTCGATGTTTTCCTGCTGGCAGATGCCGCCCCAGACATATGGCAGCAGCAGCTTCCTTGAAAGAGCGCAAGGCCTCGTTTGGACTTGGGCCAAATTTAAAGGGCCAGACTTTTTAAGTAAAGGCCACCAGCTCGCGAAAGGCCAGACATGGGCTTCAGGGTCGTGATTTCACAGGATCGGCTCCTAAACCCGGTCAAAAACGCTTCAACTGCTGCTAGCATACATCTTGGGCCCGAGATGCTAAGACCCAAAAGTCTAGACTTCACGGCATTGAGGCATCGAAACACCCAAAGCTGTAAAGCCACAGTGGAGCCTCGCTTTAAAGATCTCTTGGGACCCAACCCTTCCGGTGCTCAAAAACCTGAAATGG